CCTCGAAGCTGGGCGGCAAGCATGCCTGGCAACGCAGCATGAGTGCGCCTGCGCGGCCATGCATACTGCACAGCTTAGAGGGAATGCTGCATAGAAATTAACATACTTAGATATAGTCACTCCTATTTCAAAGTTTTGCTCCTAACTCATAAAGCATATTATTGTCCATATTTGTGTTTTGCATTGCTGCATGTTTTTAGGGAATAAAACTATTAAGGCAAAAGATGAAAATGTGCCTTCTAAACTGCCTTGTGAAATAACTGAGAAGAATGGAAATTCTTTTCATAAAATATTTTTAAATGTGTTTTCATTCTGAATTAATATGAAGCCTGAACACACAAACATTTTTACCAAGAAAATCTGAATAACTTTGGATCATTGAAGTGGCTTCACTTAGACAAAATCATGTACTTTAGATTGTAATATAAAAATGGAATGTAAAAATGAACATTCAGATTGGGTCAGAACATTCCCTTTTTTCCTCTGAAATGAAAATTTGCAGTCCTATCAATTTTGCTAGAGTATTTTGAGGAAAGAACATTTTCTGATACAAAATGCTTTTCTTTATGTTTTTCCAACCATTTCTAAATGTGAGTCTGTTATAAAGGCCTTGATTTCTTTTTCCATGACTAACAGCTATTTCTCACTAGTCTAATAGCCAAACCACTTTCACAGGCACAGTGTAAAATCCTGATGACAGTGAAGAAAACAGCAGTCACATTGACTACAGTGTGGCCAGGTTTTCACCCACAGCAAGTTGTAACTTTCTCTCGTTCTCAGTGAGGTATTTAGATTACTGACTTTAAGGGCACATTTCTGGTAGATTAGCTCTTCCGTTTTCATATGACCTAGAAAGTGCTGAGTAAATTAAAAAATAGAAACGACTTAAAAATTCTTGAACACTTAAAACATGAAACAAACTTACTTTGGGTTCATTTTGAAAGATGGGTAAAAAGTTTGAGTCAGTTCTTACTTCATCCACAACATTTCTATCACCCTGATCGCTCCCTTTAATAACCATAATTACGCTTATTTAAAAACATGAAGCCTTGAAGAACCGGAATCTGTTTCCATTGCATTGTGCTGTTATAGCTAATTCTCTTACCATTCAATTTTCACTGCTTTACTCTGACAGTGGGTTGCACCTTTTATCTCAAGTTTCAAAGGCAAGTTTAACAATTTTATCCATTTTAAAGCACTTCCTTAAGTTGAAAAATATTGTGGAACCCATAAGCTTTTTAAGCTTCTCCCAGCCAACAATTGGCTTGTTGGTAAGTGACTGGTGACAATTGCTACAGCACCCAGGGACTGAGAAGCCTTTCAAGGGATGAAGGGAAAGAAATTAGTCTGGGATAGCGATGGTCCAACAAAACAGCTGATCTTCAGTGAGTGGTTAATGTACATGACCACCCATGACAACAATCTTCTGGGTCATGTGTCACCTCCTGCTGACAGCTCAAGACCAGGGAATGTGCTTTTGTTTCACCTTTTTGGTTGGGAGCCAGCACAGTATGAAAATGCAATGTGAATTTAGAAGATGCACAGATAATGCATTAAAAATGAAACCACTAGGTCAGCTGATGGTGCGTTGAATGACTTTACTGTATGCTGAAGTTCAGCTTGGTCAAACTTGTGCCTTCATCTCAGTCTTTTGGTAAAAAGGAGACCTTTCTTTCTGAGTGCAGGATCTGAAACTGGCAATTGTAAATTAAATTGCAAAACTTTACAAAAATGGGTGAAACTTTTCTCTTGCTTAAATGTCATGGCGATAAAAATCAGTGTATATTTCAGTTGACGCAAATAAGGAGTTACACTTGAATACCCTGGAGACCTTTCTCATGCAGAATAGTGATTTTGTTATTAATAGTTGGTCCCTTTATGCCGACTGCCAGTAAACCCAAAGAGTTCATTACTAGAAAATGAATAGGAATGTCAAGACATTCCTCTTTGTCAGTTACTTCTAATTACAGGACCGTGACTTATGCAAATGTGGAGAAAATACATTGTTACAAGTTACTCTGACGGAAAATGAGACATTTCTTCTCCGGATATAAAGAAGGTTCTGGGACCCAGCCTAGTCAATCCTGGGTAAAACTGCAGAAGATTATGACACTTGCAATAAGCTGTGATTCATAGCATCTTTATCTTAACATATGGGCACGTGTTTACTTGGAAACTGCCTTTAATTTTCAGCTTATTTTGCAAGAGCTACCAGCCAAGCATCAGATGATGATGTCTTTCATTTACTACCCGTAAACAGCAGACATTCCCCATGCCTGAAGAAGGGTGACTGCGCCCAAAAGCTTGCCAAGAAATGTTTTCCAACTACTCAGTTAGTCTAATAAAAGATATCACATCTATTTAAAGAACCTTGCCTGCCTATTTATTAAATGTGGGACTTAAACACCCCATGGAACTTAAACTTACGTGCAATGTGGGTGCATCTACATGTACAATTAATGTACCTGAATTCTCTGCAAAGAAAATTCAGGCTTATTAAAGCACTCTTGGGTGCACACCTACACATGCCCCTGTGGCAGTAAAGACACGTGCATTAATGTGCCGTTGCTACTGTACATTAAGTTTAGTCCCTCTAATATGAGGTACTGTACTAAATAAATGTGCAGTAGCCAGGCTAAAGAGCAGTAGCAATGGCAGATGGTCTTTCCATGAGACTTACTGCACAGTAGACTGATTCTTAACTAGAGCATTAGCATGGTTTTTGCTGTGACCTGCTAATGTGCAGTAGAATTAATGTCAGTCCAAGGCTGCTCCTGCCCTGCTGCCCTGCTCTGCCCCCTTGCAACAACCAGGGCAAGCTCCAGGCTCCCCCAGGAGCCAGCCCTTGGCTGGCAGGGGCGCATGGGAGTCAGGCCTGGATTCTGGGGACCAGGGGGGAAGCTGTCTGGGAGCTCCCAGCCTTGTGGAGTTCAGGATTGCAGCCCACATCGGCAGTGCTAGCTGTGTGCGCCCCATGCCCGAGTGTGGGGCTAAGGAGCACCTGGGACTGGGGGTGAGATGCGAGGGGGAAGCAGTGCCAGAACCCAGGGGCAGGAGACATGAGCGGGAAGCAGCATTGGAACCAAGGGGGAGGGGAGATGCGAGGGGGAAGCAATACCAAGGGCCAGGGGGGAGATGTGAGGTGGAAGCAGCACCGGTTCTTGGTGCTGCTTGCTCCCTGCATCTCCCTCCAGTTCTGGCACTGCTTCCCCCTGTATTCCCCCCCCCAGTGCCAGCACTGCTTTTCTCCCCCTGTGCCTCCCCCCAGACCTGGTGTTGCTCAGCTCCTGACTCCCACCAACCATGGGTGGGGAGCAGAAGCCAACTGGGGCATGTGCTGCATGGGCAGCAGCAGGGCTGATGGGATGGGGGTAAATACTGGGGGCAGAGAGCTCCCCCATCTTGGTGCTGGAGGGAGTCAGTTGCTGAGCAGTGCTGGAGCTGAGGACAGCTTTCCCTCCCCACCCCCTGTAGCCCCCTCCTGCCCAGTGTCTACACATGCACTACTACACAGAAGCTAATGTGCCATTAATCCAGTACCTGAATTTGTTGGTACCACCTTCGTCTTTCCTGTCAACCAACCTATCTCTTTATAGGATATTATTCTGCCCAAACATTTTGTAGTTTAAAACAGTGGCTTTTTAAAGCTCTTGTTTCTTGTCTGCATGTAAGACTTTGCCTACCCTCTCATTTCATTTATTTAATAACACGTTTAATAAGTGAATCAGTATGTCATAGCAACTGTATGTTACAGCCTTGTGGGTTTTTTGTTATTCAGGATACAGCTGATGTAATAGCTGCAGATTCCCATCAGAGTACAAGATTTCTCTCAGTACTCATGAGTTATGACACTTACATTCCTTGGGGACAAATGGTGAAGAAAATGCACACAGACACTGATTCAGAATTGCTCAGCTAGAACTTGGGGCACATTAAGGTCAACAACTTCCCCTTACTCAACCACACATGATACCCCTGGTTATTCTGTATTTTTAGCTGTAAATACTTCCTGTGTTTAGTGCTGTTGGTTGTTCCCACAAGAATACCTGTAGAAGTAAGGTTTTCAAATGAAAAGCTGCTGCGAAGCCTCATAAGACTTGTATTGCTAAACCAGCTGCCTCATAACTTCTCCCACCAGATTTTAATGGATGTCTAGCAAAGATTACGTGCTGCACACACAATGAGCTATTCTTCTTTTCCAGACAAAGATACAATTTTCATGACATGGCAGCCTTAACAAAATCACCTCCATAACAGTTCAACATGTCCAAGGGAATGCTGCTTCCCTCCTGAGCAAGAGGAATGAAGAAGTGGCAATAGCACTGGCAATAGCACTGGCAAAGAACCGCCAGTCTGGTTGCCAATGATGATGAATGCCTTTGGGCCTGGTTTAAAGGAAAACTGGAACCTGCTGGTTTGCTGTCTGGCAAACCACTGCAAAAGATATTGCCATGTCAAACTGAGCTCTGAATTTAAGTTTTGACAAAACTTCAGGCCAAAAGAAATACTTCTGCTATATAGTTTAACATTGGAAATAAAGGGTGAGGTGGGTGGGAAATGTGTTTCTATGTGTGCTGACAAAAAGAAAACACTTCTCGGTAGATCAGACAAGCCAAACACTATGCAGCATTGGTTTTAGAGCATTACAAATTGAAAGTGAAACCAGTCAGGGTCAAAACTGACACTGACTGGGCTATTTTCATTCTTCAAGCTGAGAGCATTGCAGTCCATAAATAAATATCTTGAAGAAGTAATCCATGTCTCATGGGTTTGGATGAAGTAAACTATTCCTTTGGTTTATTCTTAGAAAGAAGTGTGAACCATTTTTTTTTGAGCAGGTCAGAACTTGAAGTGATCTATACAGTCTATATTCATACACTGTTGATTGCTAGGTTGTCTGAATACCTTATACAAATGTATAACACCTGCAAAATAACTATCGAGTTTGGCTTTTTCCATCCCACT